TCGCCATTTGCGGAGGTCATTCAATCGCTCGCGGGTCTTCACCAGGAGCACCATCAGGCACTGCTGGGCCTGAGGGACGATCAGGAGCGGCGGTTCCGAGCCTTCATCCAAGCCCAGCAGGAAGGGCTGCCGAGGAAGACTGCCCAGTGGGTCCAGTGCCACCGCCCGACGTCGCTGAACCAGGCCATCCAACTGGCGGAGGACCAGATGGTGGCGTGCCCCGGGGTCGGCGAACCCCTGCCATCTGTCTCTCTCTCTCTCCCTTCCCCTGTGTTCTCTCCCTCCAAACCTGTCCCTTTCCCCAGGTCCCGAGGGAATCTGCCCCCAGGAGCCCCAACCCGCGGGAGGGGTGGTCCAGGGACGGAACCCACAACCCGGCGGCAGCTCCCATTCCGCCGCTCTCTCCGCACCAATTCCTTGACCCACTTCCTGCCACTAGGGCGGCGGGGAGGCCTGGGCCGGCCTGCTGGCGTTGCGGGGACCCAGGTCATTTTATTGAGGGGGGTACATATCAGGCTTTGGTGGATTCGGGATGCAACCAAACCTCAATGCATCAAAGCCTGATTCAGCCGGAGGCATTGGATAAGAGCCGCATGGTTAAGGTTCGGTGCGTGCACGGGGATGTGGTGAACTACCCCTTAATGTCGGTGGCTATTCAATTTCGGGGACAAAAGCATAGAGTAGAGGTGGCAGTTAGCCCGCACCTCAGACATCCGCTAATTTTGGGAACAAATTGGCCAGGTTTTAAGGCGTTATTGGGGCATTTATGTGCGGGTGTCTCTTGGGAGGAAAGAGCGCCGGAAAGGGGGGCGGTCGCACAGGTAGGAGAAGCTGAGCCTGGACCAAGGGGAACTGAGACAGGGGAACGGAGTGCTGTTGAGAGGAGAACCCTCACAAAGTGCGATGATTTTCTCCTGGAACAGTCCCAGGATGAAACGCTCAAAAATGCTTTTGAACAGGTCCGTTCCATCGACGGACAGCTTCTCCAACCGGCTCGACCGCTCTCCTATCCGTATTT